ATGTTCGTTGCATCGATGACATTGTCTAACCATCTCATCCTTTGCCATCCCCGTCTTCTTTGGCCTTCAATCTTTCCCAGCATCAGGGTCTTCTCCAGTGAGTGCTCCCTTCTCATTTGGTGGCCAAAGTATTTGAGCTTCATTTTCATTATCTGGCCTTCCAGGGAACAGTCAGGGTTGATTTCTTTTAGGATTGACTGATTTGATCTTCTTGCAGTCCAAGGGACTCTCAAGAGTCTTCTCCAGCACCATAGTTCAAAAGAATCTATTCTTCGGCGCTCGGCCTTCCTTATAGTCCATCTCTCGCAGCCATACATGACTACTGGGAATACCATTGCTTTGACCATGTGGACTTTTGTTGGCAGGGTGATGTCTCTACTTTTTATCATGCTGTTTAGATTTAGGGCAGTTTTAAAAAAACAAACCCAAGTTCTTAAAAACAAGGCGGCGGCTGCCACCTTCCCATTCCAAAGTCTCGCTCACAACAGCGTCTTTGAAAATTGCAACCCTTTTTTGCAACAAGGAGCTCTATAATCTTTGTAGTTAATTTTTTTACAAGTTTGTGATCTTCTCATCCCTTGTAAAGTGAGCAAACTCTTTCACCTCTGGGTCATAAATGGCCAAAACATCTCTCCGTCTCCTGGCAAGACAAACGGTTTGCCTGGCGACGCCCTTGTTGACCCCACTAACTTCGGCTTATATTCCTTGGCAGCCGTGGCCGTAAACTCGATCACTTCTTTATTACATGGGAAGTGCTGCACCTGAAATACTGCCCCCCCCTCCCCGCGGGTGGCTTTTCAGCAGCCACTGCCATTTTTATGGGGGTTTTACCCATGACGTCTGATGCCATTATAGCCTATTTCTCTCGACCTCTTTGAACCATCATAAACATATCAGAAATGGATCCAGCGCTGCATTTGAATTTATACCTGCTTCCCCCCCCACTGGTCGTGGCTGGAGTCACGTTCACACAAGGCGTTCCATCCAAGACCTCTGCAAGGTTGCACCCAACCATCTTCTTGTCCTTACTTTTTTTTAAAAAATGTTTTTGTTCTCCCCCCCATCCTCTAGGACAGGGGTGTCAAACGTAAGGCCCTGGGGCCGGAATCGGCCCATCCAGGGCTCTTACCTGGTCTGCAAGCAACTGGTGTGTATGGAAATGTAAGGTACTCCCCCTTTTATGATATCCCTTTGAAAAACAACTTGTCTTGCATATGATTAAATATATTTATTGGGGCTTTTGTGGGTTCCCCAGTAAATCAGTTGCTTTCACTGCTAGGAACCATTGCTTTTGTTTGTATTTTGAGTAAAACAATATTGTTGTTAATTGGGTTTGACTGTGTCCTTTATAAAGTTTATGTCTCCGGTACCTGGCATTACATTTTATGGCACACATGGCCCGGCCCGACAAAGTGACATTTATGTTAGGTCCAGCCCTTGTAACAAATGAGTTCGTTATCTCTGCTCTAGAGTCCTTAATTATACCATAGGCATATTTTAAAACATTTAAATTCTCTGCTGTAATCGTTAGTTCAGGGGTTCCCAGCCTTTTTGAACCTGTGGAGACCTTTGGAATTCTGACACAGGGCATTAGGCGAGATGACAAAATGGCTGCCACCGGAGGTGAAGCCAACCACAAAATGTCAGGGAGCAGGGTGATATGTAACCTCTAGTAGTAACTCTTCACTGTTTCAGACAGAAGCTCTGTTAACAGGGTTTATTTGCACAGCCAGTGAGAAACCCTACCTAGTCCTGCCCACTCTCTGAAAGCACTTACACATACATAAAGGTAAAGGTTCCCTTGCTCGAAAGCCAGTCGAGTCCGACTCTAGGGTTGCGGTGCTCATCTCTGTTTCCAAGCCGAAGAGCCAGCGCTGTCCGAAGACGTTTCCGTGGTCATGTGGCCGGCATGACTAAACACCAAGGCGCACGGAACGCTATTTATCTACTCGCAATTTCTTTCTTTCGAACTGCTAGGTTGTTTGGCAGGAGCTGGAACTTGAGACGGGAGCTCACTCCATCATGCGGCAACTCAGGTCTTGAACTGCTGAACTACTGACCTTCCACAGCCTGCAGTTCAGCGTCTTAACCACTTGAGCCACCGCAGCTCCTTACACATACATACATAGACCTTTATTGGCATAACACAGCAGCAAAGAGGAAAAAGCACTTGGCAGACACCACAGACAATGGGGAATTTCACATTACCAGTTTTCTCCCGGTTTCAAACCGGGAGTCTTCCGTTTCCAGATGAACCGGTACAGGGCTGCCATTTCACACACGGCTTGCCCCTACCGGAAAGGAGCCAATTCACAAGCGGTTCGGCGTTTCACACATGCACCGCTTCGTTTTCCCGCCGTTTTCTTCCCGCGCGGGCTATCGGGTTTTTTTTTTTAAAAAGGTCGGCAACGTTCGGCTTATAGCGATATATCGATATATCGCTATACCAGAACAAAAAAAAGCCCGCGCGGGCGAAAAAAGGCGGGAAACAAGCGTATCGGAACCGGGAGAGGGAACGGGAGACTCCTCGGAAGCGGTTGACAGGTAAATCGCTTCCCTCCCGGTTCCTATACGGAAGAGAGGCTTCTGTGTCTGAAATGCCACTTAGATCCCGGTAGGGAACCGATTCCTAACCGGGTTCTGTCTGAAATGACAGACCACAACCCGGTTGAGAATCGGTTCCCTACCGGGACATAGCGCCTGTCTGAAATTCCCCAATGTTTGTATGCACCGTGGCCACCTCAGTCTCCACATTGGGGACCCCTGCATTAGTTCATCATGCACCGTAGGTGCCTATGCAGTAAAGTAGCCTATCATTCTGTGATGTGTCAATCCTGAGCTCTGTTTTTTTTGTGTGCATATGGGAGGAGGATTTAGACCCTGCCCACTTGGAAGGAGTGGGGAAATAAAACACTGCACAATCAAGGTATTGGGGGGTCTAAATGACCCCATGGAGAACTCTCACTTAACAACACAGTAGCTACAAAGAACCAGAGAACTTAAGCCCCATCTGAAGCATGCTACTTTTCAGAAACTCTACAGAAACAGAAATTCACTGTACTTTGCCATCAGAGCTCACCAGCAAGCCCTCTAAAGCAAAATCGTGAACCTGCTTCAGACTGCGGTTTGCATTCTTGTTGGTCATGGCTTAGATTTGTTTGTTTACTCTGTGCCCCGTGGACTGCCTTTGGGTTGCACATGCAAGCACCCGTTTATGGCCGATAAATAGCTCCTTGAATCCATGCTTCTGAAAGCACGTGTTTGCAAAGACCTGGGTGCATGCCCTAAGAACTTCAGCTTTGTGGGGAATCTCTTTTGGTTCATATGCGTTCGTTCAACTTTTCCTTGCAAAAACCATGAAGATTGTCTCGCAGAAATAAGGCACCCCTCAGTGCTAAGTCTAAACTGGTTAACTCTATCTGTTGCAGGCCCGTCAAATCTTAGACATGACCCCGGTGAAGGAGCTTGTGAGCCTCAAGTGGAATACCTATGGCCGGCCTTACTTCTGTTTCCTGGGCTTATTTTACATCCTCTACATGATCTGCTTCACCACATGCTGCTCGTACAGGCCTCTGAAGGAACGTCCAGACAACCACACCGATGAGCGGGACAATGCCATCCTGATCCAGAAAACACTGCAGGTGTGTTGAGTTACAGGCCTCTTGGGCCACAAAATGAGCAGGGAATGAAGTGGCAGAGCCCTCTTTAGGCTGCAGTCGGGGATCACGTGACTGAATGCATCTGCACTTAAGAAACCTTTTGCACAGTGTCGTGGAGAAAGATCCTCACCTAGAAATCCTTGCCTTGACTCGTAACCTAGTTTTCTATGTACAGGGGATTCCTGTACAGGAGCATCCAGTGACACAACTGTCCACCTGATTGGCTTGCTTCCGGGCAGTGCCTGGGACCTGGGGGTGGGGAGGATTGGGGGGAGAAGCAGCTTCCTGGGAGAAAAATTAAAAAGAAAGATAAGGCCTCGTCTACTTACAGGAAGTTCTCATCATAGAGTTCCTGGCAATCCCTAGAGCTACCTTTTATCACTTCCAGGTAACACTAGGAATCACTAGGAACTCTATGGTAAGAACTTCCTGTAAGGAGAAGAGTCCTTATTTTTCTTTTTTAATTGTGGGCAATGGGACCTGGGGAGGGGGGATTGCACACCCCTGCCAGGCGCTTGGCAGCCCTACCAGCTGAAGAGGGAAACGGCACAGCCAAAGATCAGCTTTACCTCCTTAACTGCTGCTTGTGTGAACTAACTTGAGATAAATATTTCTATGCCTGTCTTTCTCCTGAGCCTCATGGTATTGGTATGTTGAAGATCCTGAGATGCCTGGGAAGCCTTGGGCTGACTTGCCCAGATTCCAACCCCCCCCCCCCAGCCCTCCTGTTTGCTCACTAATGAGTGATCGTTTCCCCTGTTTTTAGGAATCGTATTTGACATACGACGATTGGCTCAGGCTGGTGGGGGAGCTGATCACTGTGATAGGGGCCCTGGCTATTTTGCTGCTAGAGGTAAGGAGGCCCTGTGGACTCTCTCTCCCTCCCTCTCCCTCCATCACTGTTCTGCAATAATGTTGTTTCCCTAATGAGCTCAAAATGCACTGTATCCTGACTCTCTTCCAGATGAGCTTGCAAGGGATTGTGGGTGGAGGAGATAGAAAGGGGGCAGAGACGCGGTGGCATTCAGATTGTTTCACGTCATGCATTCTGAGTGGTGTTTTCCTCTTAGATTCCAGATGTCCTAAGAGTTGGCTTCACAAAATATTTTGGGCAAACCATCCTCGGCGGCCCTTTCCACATCATCATGTAAGTCTCGATGTCTCCAGATCCTTCGAAACCTTACTCTTCCTCCACTCCAGCTTAGGGATGTGCATTCAGTTCCTCCAAACCAAATGCACCCCCGAAAATGGCCCATTTGGACCCCTTTCGGGCTGCTGCAGGCCGATTCAGATTCTCTGATCTGAATCAGCTTGCTGCCGAATTGCCGGCGAAATTCGGCGGAAATTCGGCCCCATTATATCTTATGGGCCATTGAAGTCAATGACAAAAACATAGGGTATATTCTGGGGGCTGGAGGGGAGGGGGTTTGAGGGAGAGGCTCCACACTCAAACGGTAGCTGCTGGAGCCTCTCCCCAAGATACCAACCAAGTTTGAAGAACATTGGACCAGGGGGTCCAATTCTACAGGCCCCTAAACAGGTTGCCCCATCCTCTCCATTGTTCTCTATGGTGGGACAAAAGTAAGGGAGAGTGGATTTAAACCTTCACCTCCCTGTACCATTTTCCTGACCTACGGTGGCCCTGGAGCGCTCGAGTTCAGTCCATTGGGAGATTTATTTGTAGTCCATCAGTGGGATGCAAGCTTCCCCACTGGCTCCCTAGGACCATTGTAGGACAAGGAAAAGAAGAGCGGGGGGGTAGGTTTAAGCCCCCTCTCCCTCACAGATAGAGAGCCAATTTGGTGTAGTGGTTGAGAGCACGGACTCTAATCTGGGAGAACTGGGCTTGATACCCCACTCTCCCACATGCAGCCAGCTTGGGCCAGTTCTCTCAGAGCTGTTCTCTTAAGAGCAGGTCTCAAAAGAGCTCTCTCGGCCCCACCTACTCCACAGGGTGTCTGTGGTGGGGAGGGGAAAGGAAAGGAGATTGTAAGCCGCTCCCAGACTCTTGAGTGAAGGGTGGGGTATAAATCCAATCTCCTCCTCCTCCTCCTCCTCTTCTTCCTCTTCTCCTTCCCCATGTGCCATGATCCTGAACTGAATTGGGCCCCCACCTGCCTGGGAATAACATTCTGAACACTGAACTCTGAGGGGAAATCTGTCAGTAGCGCCCATGACCAATGTTCCCTCTAAGCTGTGGAGTCTTGTGAGCAAAAATTCTACTTTGTGAGCTACTGGCATTAAAGTTGTGAGTGAGCAGTTTGGCTACTGCATAAGTTAGTTTGCTCTGGAGACATCCTTCCTGAGCCAGGACAAAAATGTGTGAGCCGGAGGCTAAAAAACTGTGAGCTAGCTCACACTAACTCAGCTTAGAGGGAACACTGCCCATGGCAGACATTTAGGGGATGTGTGAACTGTACAGTGTGGTTCTCTCTCTGAACGCGGGGAGTCCCAGAACCACCTCAGCTTGCCTTTTCCTCCCACTTACAACTGACTCTTCAGCCAAATTGAATTCCTGACTTCTTCATCTCACTCACAAGTAGACACTTGGGTCTCAGCAGTTGTTTTGGGCTGCCATAGGTAGGGTGTAGCACCCGAACACCCATGAAGCCGCCTTGTACTGAATCAGACCATGGATCTATCAAGGTCAATATTGTCTACTCAGACTGGCAGCGGCTCTCCAGGGTCTCAAGTGAAGGGCTTCTACATTGCCTACCACCTGACCCTTTAAACTAGAGATGCTAGGGTTGGAGCCTGTCTTTGTGGCCAGTGTTCTTTGCCTACTTTTTAAAGCAAATGACACTTCCACAGAGCCGGTCAGCCGTGGATGCCTGAGTATCGGCAGTAGAACCATAAATAAGAGATGTGACGACCAGTGCTGAATGCATGCCCCTTCCGTTACAGCATCACATATGCGTGCATGATCTTGGTGACCATGGTGATGCGCCTCACGAGCACAGATGGAGAGGTGGTCCCCATGTCCTTCGCACTGGTGCTGGGTTGGTGCAACGTCATGTATTTCGCACGTGGGTTTCAGATGCTGGGGCCCTTCACCATCATGATACAGAAGGTAAGGACTTTGTGGTCATGTTAAAACTGCCGGTACATAAATTCAGATGACAAACCAAGAGGGAATGTCTTATCTAAGCACCCTTCTCAGAGGACCTCGTGAATTTGGGGAGAAAGGGTTACAATCCTGGCTACCGCAGGAGGGACTCAGGGGAAAAAAAAACCCTCATGTATTATATACAACGTGAACGTCAGCAGTTGCGTTTGGGGGATAAATCATCTAGGAAAGGATCGTAAGAAATGCTTGCTGAATCAGACCAAGTGTCTATTTCATCCAGCATTTTCTCTCCATCGCTAGCCAGGGGTGGAAGTCCATAGGCCAGGGTACACGCAATAAGGATGGCCTCTCCCAGCTGTTTGTCCCAGCATATAGAATCTAGGGGAATACTGCCTCTGAACATCATTGCTAATGATCTTCAACAGACCTCTCCCTCCATGAATTTGTCTAACTCTGGTTGCAGTCACACACGGCAGAAAAAAACGGGATGGGGGGGGAGCGAGGCTATTTCCTCCGGAGGAATTTGACCCGCAGTTGTACAATCACACTTCCCTTTGAAGCTGCAGGCGCAGCCCGTCAGTGTGTGACTGGCCCGTAGCTAACATGGTGCCCACAGGGCCCGCCCCCCTAGTGTTTCTTCTGGGCCCCCTCCCTCCTGGGCTGCCCCCAAAGTGCTCCAACTTACCACCTGCACTGTACTTCCATTTAATTAGCTGGTGGGCCCCCCGAGGCCCCCTCCCAAAGAATTCCCTAGCTACGGGGCTGTCACTGTGTGATCAGATGTAACTGTGGGTGAGTCGTGGGGGGTTTTGTGCCTTTCCCCCCCCCCATGTGCTTAAACAGGGGATTGATGAATCGCACCTCCGCACCGAGTGCTCCCTATGAAGTGTGCGATGGTGCGCATACTGCAAGGGTGGGGGGACAACGGCACAGAGTCGGAATGGCCTGATCAGACCATCCCGATGCCATGAGAGCGCACTGAAGCGATCAGACACCGGAAGGTCCGTCCATAGCCCGTTGCAACCCGTTTACTACCGGGTTTTCCCCGGTGTCCTTTAACTCCGCTTCTGTGGCAGGGCACTTCCCAGATGTTGTTGTCCGATCGCGCCCTTTAAATCCGCCCGGCATTCACACCTATGTCGGGTCTAATTGTGCGTATGATCGCAGCCTCTTTTCTAAAGCTACCTGAAGCCAGGGCTCGTCCTTGCATCTTTCGGCAGCACAACTGCTAAATAATTTTTGTATTGTTCATAGAAGTACCTCCTTTTGTGTGTCCCTGGTCCCGCTAGTGATCATCTTCACTTGGTGATTCCAAGTTCTGACACAACAAGAAACAAGTTCAGCCTAATAAGTAAAGCACCTAGGATGCTTAAAAAAAAATGACTGAGGTGACCTTTTGCTGACATTAAATGTCCAGAGATTATAGGATGGGTAATAATCTGCTTGTGGGAAAATTGGATGTCACGACATCTCCTTTTCGTGTCTTCTCTCCAGATGATATTCGGAGATCTTATGCGTTTCTGTGGGCTTATGGCAGTTGTCATTCTTGGCTTTGCATCAGGTGAGGTAGAAACTAATGAGTGCATTTTTAGGATCATCTTGGGCACCTGTCTTCCTCTGAATTTTGGGCATCATGGTGGGAGGGATCTGGCCCAGAATCATGGAATGTTAGTCTAGAACTGGGGCTTGCGATCTTGTTGAGCCTGTGAGTGTTTATCAGGTTTTGACGGAGGAGAATGGATGCTCCCACGCACTGGCTCCCATGGGGGAGGGCAGGCCTTGACAAAATGGCTGCCATGGCCTACTAGGACCAGTCATAAAATGTAGGAATGCTAGAAGCTAAGCAACCTGCCCAGGATGGAGATGGTAGCTGGGTTCTTCTGAAGCCAGGACTGGATGTTTGCTTTGGGGAATGAGGCAAACGGGACCCAGCAAACTCATCGGTAGGCACCATGTTACCCATAGACGCCACCCTGGGGAACACTGATCTACAAATTTCTAGGCAGTATTGGAATCTGAGGGGGAAAGCAAAGTCGAAATCTAAGACAGCTAATAGAGTTTGGTTTCCCGGTTGGGTGACTGAAGAAAGGGGCAGATTAGGCTCAGATGGTGGGGCCTGTGGGAAGGACATGTGGGTGGTGGGGAGGACACACACAGAGAATTTAGGAAAAGGAAAATGGAGGAGGCACAGAATCTAGAAAAGAGGGCCAGAAGAGAAGAAATTCATACAGGGACAGCCAGACCTTGGTACTACTGGCGTGGAGTCAGGAGGCAAGAGGTCTGGCAGTCTGTGTGGTATGGAAGCAAAACTGAGGGGAAAGTTGTGCCCCCGAGTCCTGAGACAAAAGAAGCAGCCCCTGAAAGATGTTTCAAGCAGGCCCCCCCCTTAAGCCCTTGCCATTCTCTGCAGCTGACCAATCTTCCTGTTTCCCTCATCCCCCCCCCCAGCCTTTTACATCATCTTCCAGACAGAGAATCCCAGTGCCTTGGGGCAGTTCTACAGCTACCCCATGTCACTCTTCAGCACCTTCGAGCTTTTCCTCACTATCATCGACGGGCCTGCCAACTACGACGTGGACCTGCCCTTCATGTACAGCGTGGTCTACTTTGCTTTCGCCATCATCGCGGCTTTGCTCATGCTCAACCTGCTGATCGCCATGATGGGTGACACCCACTGGCGCGTGGCCAGTGAGCGGGATGAGCTTTGGCGGGCACAGGTGAGAAGATGTGGGCTGTGTGGTGTGAGAGGCACCTGTGGTATGAAAATAAGGAAAGTTTCAGGTGGTGGTGGTGGGAAAGTATTTCCAAAGCCATCTGGGATTTCATCGTGAGACACGGCAAATTTACACCAGTTTCAAGCCTGGTATAATTAGTAATGATGGCTTCCAGCCAAAGAACTGTGAAGTGGTATCAGACAGACAGATTTACCACCTTTGGTGAGAACTTGAATCCATCTTCCCATTCATTTATTTTTTTACCTCAGCAAGACTCCATTCCTTTTCCAAGGGCTTCAGGCAATTCAGGCTGCTCATACGTTCCCTCAGATGAAGCCCCAATACCCAGTTATCTTTCATTTAACAAATTATTCATCGTGTGAAACTTCTGTTGTGCGGATTTACATTCTTGGTTTGGTTTTGAAATGACAGAGTCAGTTGTTCAGTGGCATAGTTCAGTCATAGAGTTAGATCTACTCAGGCCCTGGTCACACGGGAGACTTTTGGCCCAGGAGAGGGACGGATCGGGGGCGCAGCAAACGGGCGCGAACTCACCGCAACCTCTGGGAAGCGGCGCGCACCCGTCCCCGATCCGTCCCTAAACCCGGAAAACCCGCGGCAAAAAAGAACCTCCTACAGAGGAGGACTTACCTGAAGCACCGCTGCAAGCGCGGCCATGGGATCGCCACCGCGCCCATCGTCCGGATCAATCCAGGCTCCCCGCCGAACTGCGCATGCACACACATGCGCAGTTCGGCTGTCGCGCTCTTTCTTCAGTGGCTTCCCCCTGGCATTTGATCCTGCCGGGGAGGAAGTGCGCGGCGGCTCAGGGGATCTATGTGATCCCGCTGCCGCGTCTCTCTTTTGGTGCGGCTTTAGAAAACCTCACTTTTCCCATGCTATCCCCCCCCTCCCCATGTGGCAGGGGCCTCAGCTGCTCATGCAAGGACTGCTGACCTTTCTCCCACAATCCCAACACCAGCAAGGTATAAAGAAACACAAATTCCTTGATCCATAAAATGTTGCAGATTCAGATCAGTCGTTATTTTATCCTGTACTGTTATACTGGATAGGGTTAGACTTCAATCCCATATTCAGCCATGAAATTCGCCAGATAGCTGTAGTCCAAATCACTAGCACTTTGACTTCTCTACCTCACAGGATGGTTGTGTGGATAAAGTGAGGTAGTCAACATGGACACTGCCTTGTGTTCTTTGGAGGACATCAATATAATGATGTTGTTTGAATTTGCATGTCAGTAACATTAACCAATCCCGGTCAATTCAATGTCATCATTAAATTAGAAACAAACATCTTCTTGTTTGGTGTGCAAATGTGGCTCTGTCAAGTCTGTGACAGAGGAATTCTTTCCGACCCTTTGGTGTTTCCCTTCAATGCAGGTTGTTGCCACTACAGTCATGCTCGAGCGGAAGCTCCCACGATGCCTCTGGCCTCGCTCTGGTATCTGTGGGCGAGAGTATGGGCTAGGAGACAGGTGGTACCTCAGGTAAGACCCTTTTGTCAAGAGCAAGAGTGGGTCTCCAGCCTTGTTGAACTTGTGGGCTCTTTTCAAATTATAAGTACGGGCAGTGTGTGCCATAACAAAATGGCTGCCATGGGGGCCAGACCTAACCACAAAACACTGAGAACGGGGTTGGCAACTGTCTGGAGAAACATGTCCTGTCCCTTTGACCAGAGGCTTAATGTGTGGAAATAGGAACTCGAAGCTTTTCATGTCATGGAAGTTGGTCACATCACTGGGTATTTGTTGTGGATCCAACTGGTACCCAGGGGACCTGTTTTAAAAGTTGGCACTCCTCGCCGGGAGCTCCCTCAAAGTGTTAGGAGGTTCCATTCCAAGTGTTCACTGCAGACACTAGGGTTGCCAAGTCGTGGTGGGGGGTCGTAGGTCTTCACAGAATCCTTGGCACAGGGACAGCGAGACACGTTGCAACCGCCGTCACCAGGATCTGCCGCTACGCGTCACTCTGGCAACAGGGCTCCAAACAGCCCCGTTGCCAGAGCGACGCATAGCGTCACGTCCTGGTGACGGCGGTGCAACGCGTCTCGACGTCCCCGCGGCAAGGATTCTGCAAAGACATGCAGATCCCCTGCCGTGATTTGGCGAGATTTGGCAGGCCTAGCAGACGCAAACACGATGCCCTCAGGACTCTTTTGAAGCACTTCCTACTCCAGTGAGGTGGAGGAAAGCTAGGACTGACTCTTACTGTGGGGTAGAAGCAAGTGAGCCACAGGGAAATACATCAGACTCCATATTGAGGGTGAATAGCCTAGAAGCGTGATTGAATGATTGTGCAAAAATGGCCAGGCTGGGGCTTGGATTGCTGTGCCTAAATCTACACTTGGAGTGTTCCAGCTGCAGCCAAAGACTGAAGATGCTTTTTGGTGACCAGGCAAAGGCCAGAAGGCCAGGCTCCCAGTATTAGTACTAGGCCTGTCCAGTCCTGAGGCCTAATGATTGCTACCAATCTCAGGAGCCATCCCTCATTCTCTTCCGTGCCGGAAGAGATTTCTGAATCCTGAAATCATGTGGATTCTAGTAGCTGGAGACACTAGGCCCTGGCCTCCCACCAAGGCCTTCCGGTGCTCTGTAGACACTGATAACGAGAGCTTTTGAAGTTTTGGGCTTCAAAACATTGGGCCAGGCACAACAGTTTTAACACTAGTTGAAGAGGGAAGCCTGCCTGCTTGTTCTGGGGCTGGAACCTGAATCCATTCCTTGTGCAGGCGGCCCCGCAGCTCTGCCGAGCCAGGCCGGGCTACAGTCAGATCCTCCACAGCAGAACCATGTTGGCAGTACAGGTTGGGGGGAGGGGGCTATAGAAACCAGGCATTCATCTAATTCTCTCTGCTCCCCACAGGGTGGAAGATCGGGTGGATGCCAAAAAGCAGAAGATGTCCCGCTACGCAAAGGCTTTTAAGAGCCACGGCAAGGAAGACCCCGAGAAGCTATCGGTGAAGCTGGAGCCGTACGAGGGTTTTCAGTTCAGAGATGGACCCTCTCCCTCTGTCTCACGCAGCACGTCTCAGAGTAGTTCCCACCGTGGTTGGCACATCCTGCGGAACAGCACCTTCAGCCGTCTCCGTGGAGAAGTCAACCATGCCCTGGAAGAGGAAGTCTACCACATTTGACTCGCCACACCACGGGGGTGTCGTGTCGTTGCCTGATTCTGCCGAGAGCTGGCGGGACTTTTTCCGAGTGATATCACGTTCTGTAGCAGCCGCTCTCTTTGTGGGTTGGTCTCATCCCTGGGTGGAAGTTCCCTCTCAAACGTGGTTGCCCCCCTCATCTTCTGGAGCGAGGAGCCAAAACATGCCCAGGTCTTGGCTTTTGCTTCCATTAGGGTGCCGCATCCTCTTTCTAGGAGAAGGTGTTCTGAGGAGAGCGGAGGAGTTTGTCAGCATCAAAGAGATTTCCCGCTCAGTAGTTCCTGTCCCAACCTGTTCCCGGGCAACATTCCACAGAGACCTCTCTCTGCCCTCTGAAGAGCCGACACCATGGACATTTTAGGTCTGCTGTGAAAAGAGGGGATTTTAAACTCAGGGAACTAGCAAAAGCTGAGAAGGAGCAGCAGCTAAGCAGTCTGTGAACAGACAGCATGCCAAAGACTCGTGAAGAGAGAGATCTCATCGGACAGAGTGGGTTATGCCTTTTTGGGGGGGGGGGGGGAGGGATTGAGAGGCAGTGCACTTTAAGCCCTGAATGTGAGCATGTTTCTTAGCATTGTTAGACGTTTTCTAGGGCTCTTTTATAAGGCGTGTTCCTTTTTCAGGTGACAGGACCAAGACCGCTTTTCCTCAGCTGAACTCAGCTCAGGGTGTTTTTGTTTTTTCTCCTTCCTTCCTGTGGGGAACAAAAGACACTTATGAATTCACTGGCTCCACGGCCCACTGTCCGCATTTCGCTTTGCCCCCTTGGACTGGGGCCCGTTTTTGCACATCCGATCAACTCTTGCCGGGTTCCTTGCACAGGCCGTCGTGTTTTGCTTAAAACAGGTTGAGTCAAAACGTGTGAGGCATGTTGAGGGGAAGCTCAAAGGAAGTTCTCAGGAGGGCCAGCGATGTCCTTCAGGATGGTTTCACGCAGTCCCTGCCTGGCTACCAAATGCTGCTGGAAGCAAAACACAAGATGAAGTTCTCGTTCAAGAACATTTAAGGAAGGTCGAGGAAACTTCTCTCTTTCAGCAGTAACAGGCGGAGTGAGGCCAGTTCTTCCGCAGCCTAGCTCGAGCTTTGCTGTCACGTTGAACTTCACCGCGTAAAGAAAAATGACAGGTCGTGAATTATTGAAGGGAAACAGTTGTTTTAGGATTGTTGCCTTTTGAACATTGGAACTCAGTGGGAAGTTACTGGCTTAATTCTTCTTTAGCAAGAACAGCGAGAGGAGATCTTAGCTAGCCAAAGGAAACATATTTGTATCCTGGGTGTGTGTGTGTTAAAGATATCTATATAGCATACCCTGAATCATTTCATGAAGAAATGGAACACTGAGGGTTAACAATATTCCTACTGTGATAGCTCCTGTCATGGAGCTAGAATGAATTTCAACTCCAAAAAGGTGTCTGGATGGGGTGTTGTTGTGTATTATTGGTGTATTCGTGGTGCTTTGGGTGGGGGGGGCAACAAGTTGAGGGCTTCTGGAGTTACGGCCCAACTGGTGGACCTCCTGATGGCATCGGGGTTTTGGCCACTGTGTGACCCAGAGTGTTGGACTGGATGGGCCATTGACCTGATCCAACATGGCTTCTCTTATGTTCTTATCTTAAGGGGAATTCTTTTAGAAATCTGTTCCATAGTGTGAGTTCAGAGTGTTCATCCATATCTTCCCTCTGTGGTTTTCCAGCTGTGTTTCCAGGAATCTTCTAGCTCCTTGGAGTTTTATTAAGGTTCCCTCGAGGAGAAGATTTGTCATTGGGGGGGGGATTTCCCTGAAAGTCAGCATCCCCCACCACTTGTGATCTTTTCACCTGTAGGCTGACCATGTTATTAGGGATATTCTCAGATCACACTGGAACATCATGGGACCAACGATCTGTGCCTAGTGGCCCATTTAAACATCATATGCTTTCTAAAGATACTCTAGAATTCTTGCTGGGGTTTTGTGGCAAAAGACTGAGATGAAACAACTTCCCTGGAGGTAAAAGGGTTGGCAACTGCTTCTCTGGGATACAAGAACTACTGTTAATCAGTCCACTTTGGCTCTTTCTGCACTAGACCGTTAATCCTTGTTCAGTGCTGTCTCCTACTAGGTATTCTGCTCTATACTCACCCCTCTTTTTATCCCAGGTCTTTTGTCAATTTTGCATTACACTGTGGTTTTGGACTGCCATTGCCTCAGGGTACATGGATCCTGTTTGGCCACAGGCTTCCCCTCGATCTGAAGTGAGCCCAGTGCAGATTCAAGTGTATAATTTTAAACTCGGGTTTCAATCCTCCCCACCCCTTTCCCACCATACCTAGGACAAGCACCCCTGTTCGCAATGCAGAATGTATAACCCAGGGCAGGCAAGCAAATCGGAGCCGGGCAAAATTAGTGCAGAAAACAACAGATGAACAGAGATAATGGCAAGGTGAACAGCCACAAGTCAAATGCAGAGAAAACCTGGGGTGAGGTCCAAGTGTGGAAAGGGCCTTTGATGAGCGGAAAAGTACCTGTGGCCAGTGTGTAAGCTGCTCTGATACTCTTTTGGGTAGTGAATGGCATGGTATAAATCCAATCTCCTCCTCCTCCTTTACATTCTCTGTGCCCAGATGTTCCTTCTTACACTTGGGGAAGTTTGCACTATAAGTCTGTGGGGGCGGGAAATGTGAATTTTGCACATGGGTTAAAAACTGTGACTTGCAGTCATGGTGGTTTCGTAAATCACGAGTGGCAATTTCATTTCATGTTAGAAGAAGAGATTCTGTGTCCGTCCTTTCTTCCAGTGGCAACACTACTGAGAGCAATTGAGTACAGTGTCTGTAGCTGGCTCAGCTTTGCTTGCAAATCCTCCCAGTGAATTGGACTTGAATGGGTTATGGTAACCTGGAAAGTTCACCAAAGCCCTTCCCTGGTTCTAATATAGCAAGAAAAACGGAGGCCCAAGGCACAGGACCTTTTGGTGGCCACCAGAAAATATCTCTTTACTCGCTGACTCCCACATGGCTGAACTAAGGAGCAAATAGAAACTTCCTCTGACCTGGCTGTGTCAGCATACAGACCCTTCCCACAAGAGCATCCGCAGCCCCTAATAAGGGCACAGCCCTACTGTGGGACTGGGGTCGCCAACCTTCAGTCGGGGTCTGAAGATCTCCTGGAATTATAACTCCTCCCCAGATTACAGAGACCAGTTCCCCTGGAGAAAATGGCCGCTTTAGAGGTTGGATTTTATGGCATTGTGTCATGCTGAGGTCTCTGCCCTCCCGTGATGCCCCAGTTGGTGCAGTGGTTAAGTGCACGGACTCTTAATCTGGGAGAACCGGGTTTGATTCCCCACTCCTCCACTTGCAGCTGCTGGATGATCTTGGGCAAGCTATGGTTCTGTCAGAGCTGTCCTTGAACGAGCAGTTCTCTCAGAGCTCTCTCAGGCCCACCTACCTCACAGGGTGTCTGTTGTGGGGAGGGGAAGGGAAAGGCGTTTGTAAACCGCTCTGAGACTCTGAGTGATGGGCAGGGTATGAATCCAATCTCTTCTCTAGGCTCCACCCTCAAATCTCCAGGAATTTCCCAAGTTGGAGTTGGGACAAGCCCACATAATACAGCCTCCCCACACGAGAAGAAGTTTTCAGACAGAATCTTTGCGACATGGGAGCCAGGCAAAGGGAAGTTAGTTTGAATGAGCATCCTTACCCACAAAGGGATCAAATGAGTTAGTCTTGACTAGGCACTGTGGCTCGGTGGTAGAGCATCTGCTTGGCATGCAGGAGGTCCCAGGTTCAATCTCTGGCATCTCCGTTTAAAAGGAACAGGAAGGAAGTGACAGGAAAGGCCTCTGCCTGCGACCCTGGCGAGCCTCTGTGATCTGGAATAGTGCCTACTGATATAAACTAGGTCTGCAGTCCAAAGGAAATGGAGCATTCCAGTAGTGATAACACAAGCATTGGGAACTCCTGTTATACTGTTGTAACCTACATTAGGGATTTTTGTATCGGGAAGGAATAATTTGGTCTTTTATTAAGCTATGTGTCTAGCATTTCTGCATTCTTTAAACTGTTATGTAAAATCAGTACAAATTTTGTAGCGTAAGAGAATCTGGGAAACTGTTGTTTGATTAGAACTTGAGAATTCACTACGGATAACCCTCGGGCTTCTCTCACACAACTGTTAAGCACCAGGATTCCTTGAAGACAGGGGGTGTCTGCAAATCAGATTCTGTTGTGTAGACGTGATCTAGCTCAGATTGCTTCACTCCAGCTCTTGCAGTTAATAAAGAATGTCCGGAGTGAATTAAGCTAATGTGAAGTCCAGATTTGTTGTTTTTATCTATGAATCTGGGTTTTGTGTGTTTTGAATCCCCCCCTTCCATATTGATGTAATTATGTCCCCCATTTGTTAATGATGAATAGCACTTGAGATTAAATTAAAACCAAATTCTAGTTTTGTAGAATATGGACGCGCACACACACAAACATTTTGATTGAATCAGCAAGCTGAGAGTTAAAACGATACTGTCAGGAAACCTAAGAAAGATGTCAGATTCTAATCAATGTGTTAATAGTTCTTCAAAGCATTTCAATTGTTGCCAAAAAAAAAATACTGAACTTTTTTAGATTGTGCCAAGCAATTAAGTCAGGACAGGTACCAACAGAGATGGAAAATCCCGATAGCTTCTCGTCCTTAAGGAGCCATCTCACAGCTATTTTTGGATATTTCCTCCCGTTCAAACCGCGGGATTATCTGCAATAGATAGGCTAGGTGCACTCTCTTTCTGAATTTGATGTTTCACTTATAACCAACGTGTAGCTCTTAAGTGGATTTTTAAATGTGATTTTTTACATATAAAAATAGTGGATTCTCTGCTCAGTGTTTTGTTTATGGGGCCATTTCTTTTATGGTGATTGTACAAACCTTTGCGTTGTAACTTGCAGAACTGGCTTGCTCTGACTGTTTATATGGAATATGAACTTATAAGCTTCTTGTCTCTGCCATAAAG